CTTCTGCTGTGTTCTCAGAGTGAAAGGATGTCTGCAGGAAGCCAGAGCTTCTCTACTTTACCTTTATTTTTCTGGGGAAAACTCAGCTGGACTGCAGCCTGTGAACTGGTGGTCCTTGACTGGTTTTGTGGAAGTCAATTTCTCCATGGATGGAGGGAGGGGATGTTTGTGGGGGCGTGGTTTTGTGATGACTCAAGGGCATTACATTTATTGTGTTCTTTATTTCTATTATTATTACATTGTAATATATAATGAAATAATTATATAGCTCTTCATAATTGCCTTAACCATATACAATAACGTTCATGCCATGAGAATCTAATGACACCACTGATCTGACAGCAGACAGAGCTCATGGGAACACAAGCGATGGGGGACAGCTGTAAATACAGATGAAGCTTTGCTTGCTTGCCTGCCACTCACTGTTACCGGACCTTCCAGTCCATGCTTAAGGGTCAGGGACCCCTGCTGGAAGCAACAGGCAAACATTTCACATACTCAGTACTTGAAAAACCTTACCATTAAGTATCATAAGGTTCTAAAACACTCAGTGGAATTGGAGTTATTTCTATGAATAGGTGTGTGTATAAGTAAACTGTGAAATATCTATCTGGGCCAGGTACAGTGGCTCATGCCTGTAACCCCAGCACTTTGGGAGGCCAAGGTGAGAAGATTGCCTGAGCTCATGGGTTCAAGATCAGCTGGAGCAACTTGGCGAGACCTCATCTCTACAATAAATCAAAAAAATTAGCTGGGCGTGGTGGAGCACGACTGAAGCAGAAGGATCTCCTGAACCTAGCAGGTCGAGGCTGTGGTGGCTGTGAGCGTGCCACTGTACTCCAGCCTGGGCAACAGAGTGAGACTCCCACTCAAAAAAAAAAAGAAAGAAAGAAAATATGTATTCTTGATGTAGTATAGTTGTGTGTGTGTTGAGAGTTGTGTTAGGATGTAATTCATTTTAGTTCATGGAGCTTTTTTCCTCATAGCAGCTGCCTGTGTTTTACCTGTGTTTTAAATGTAAGAGTTGTGTGTGAGTATGTGTACATTTACTGAACATATTACATTAAATGTACTTTTCTACTTCTGTATCTTTGTATGTGATTATTAGTACACATGGAGAGCTTTAGGTTGTTTACATGGTTACAAGGATGGATTAGACAACCATAAAATGAATAGAAATACAAGGGAAAGGAAGACAGAAAATTCCCCTCTGTAAAATCTCACAGACTGGGATCTAGCTCTCCCTCGTATAGACTTTGATTCAGCCAGATTTGGATGACTGGCAACTTCTGAAGGGGTCAGTCTTTTGAGCGTAACAACTTTACAGGTGCAATTAATATTTAATTATTTATTGGTAGATGTTTACGTGTCAGTAGGGACCGAGGACAACTGGAATACGTAAAGCCCTGTGTGTCGTCGGTCCCTGACCTTGGGCAGTCACACTTGGACCTCCATCCCCTCACTTATGTCAGGGTGGGGAGGAAGGCAGATGGGCTAGATAGGAGGTGGCAAATGGGTTCCATGTCATGTCCTACTTCCAGTGAATGTTAATGAACTTGAACCTTACTGGGGCCTGGGGGAGAGGGGACAGGGTCTCTGCCATCAGTGAGGAAGTGTGAGTGGGGCTCAGGAATGATGTGAGATGCTTGTCAAAGCAAAATTATGTGGTCCTTCTCGCTTCTGGTGGCCTGTGACACTAAGCCTTTGAGCTGCATTTTAGGGTGTGGATTCCCTAGTTGTGGAGATTGGCCCCTCTGTAAGTACTTGACTTTTGTGTAAAACACTCAGCACAGAAACCAATTCTTAACTACTGCAACAACAGGGCCTGGAATGGCTGACACATTAGGCCTTTGACCTGGTGCTGCTTTATTTTTTGACTACCTCCGTAGAATTTCAGCCTCTTTCCAGCAAAGCCTTCTCCATAACATTCCAGTCATGGCAGAATCATTGATGGAGAGAGTAGATCTCAGGGTTGTGGGTCTTTTCCATCTTGAAATGTTATGTGTTACCATGTTCCAGCACTATTGTGTCAGGGTCAAAGTTAGAGTTGCCTGAAGATTCAGGCATGTCCAGGGTCCCACAGGCTTCCCCCATTTTCTGAAAGCAGAGTGTTCCTGCCCCCTGGCTTTTGTCTTTGCTGGTTCTTCAGTGTGAGATGCTCATGCTCCACCCTCACATCTCAGAGGGAGCCAATCAGGTTTGGGCTCCTTTCTCCCTTCCCAGAGGACTTTCTTAAAGATGCCTCTATGGCCGGGCGTGGTGGCTCATGCCTGTAATCCCAGCACTTTGGGAGGCCAAGGTGAGAGGATTGCTGGAGCCCATAGGTTCGAGAACAGCCTGGGCAACTTGGCGAGACCTCATCTCTAGAATAAATCAAAAAACTTAGCTGGGAGTGGTGGTGCACGCCTATAGTTCCAGCTACTTGGAAGGCTAAGGCAGAAGGATTGCCTGAACCCAGCAGGTCGAGGCTGTGGTGGTCGTAAGCATGCCACTGCACTCCAGCCTGGGCAACAGAGTGACTCCGACTAAAAAAAAAAAAAGATGCCTCTATAGTATTAACCTTCTCAGCGTTTGTCATGTTTGTTTCCTTTATGAAACCCTCTGGGCGGGGCGCATTGGCTCACACCTGTAATCCCAGCACTTTGGGAGGCGGAGGCAAGAGGATTGCCTGAGCCCGCAGGTTCGAGACCAGCCTGGGCAACATGGCAAGACCTCATCTCTACAATAAATCAAAAAATTTAGCTGGGCCTGGTGGCACACGCCTGTAGTTCCAGCTACTTGGAAGGCTGAGGTGGAAGGCGGTGGCCATGAGCGTGCCACTACACTCCTGCCTGGGTGACAGAGTGAGACTCTGGCTCAACAAAAAAAAGGAAAACTCTGTGACATGAAATTGGGTTTTGCTCCATTACCCAGGCCAAATAGCACCTGACACATGATAGGCACGCAAGTGTTTTGTAAGTGGTTGGGCAATCTTCTGCTTCTGCCCAGCAGAAGATTCCTATTTGAAGAGTGTGTTGTAGTACCAAAAATTACAAGAACAGCTGTTGTGTACAAAATACTCATGTATTTATGAATTCATGACCAAATTAAATATGAAACCTTATATAAAAAGAGGTGTGGTTTTGTGTTTTCTTTTTGCCCCATCGTCCTTTGCTTCTGAAGCAGCCCTGGGTGACAAGAGTCCAGGGGTGTGGCCTTGCTGTGTGATTCACTCCTTTCTTTCTCCTCTCTGTCCCTTTGGGCTTGTCCTGCATGTGGGTATTTCCTGCTTCTGAGTCCCTGGTTTCCCAAGCGTCAGGTTCGTGGGGGACTGGATCCCTGCACCTCCTCCCTTCCCTCCTGCTTGCCTTCCCTCTGGGGACAGGGACACCTGCACTGGCCTGGCTCACCCACAGCCTTCCAGGGTGGTTCTCTGGGCTGTACCTGGGGCTGCTGAGCTTCCTGTGCTGTGGAGGGGCTCTGAAGAGATGCCAGGAAAGGGGTGGTGGGTCCCTGAGGGGTGAGCCGGCCCTGGTTGCTGGGGAGTCCTGTGGCCACCATCCTGTGGGCTTCCTCCAGCCCTTGGCCGACCTTCCCTTTCTCCCCATGGCCTTTCCTGCGTCCTCAAGTGAACGCAGCTTGCTCAGCCTGCAAGCTCCTGGGAAAAACATTTCCCCTTCCCCTTGAGAACTTTACTCTCCCTCTCACCTGCAGTTCCTGGGAGGTCCTGGCGTGACCCCCCCCCACCACCACCTCCCTTCCCCAGAGGAAAGTTGTGGGGTGCTGCATTGAGATCCCCTCACCCCTAATGCCTCTCTCCTTCCTGGGATTTGCAGACCATGAGCTCTTCAGCCTCACTTGAAGCATGGGCTGCGAGCTCAGGTGCAGGATGCAGACCAGCCTGTGGGGGGCAGCACATGACTGGCTTCCAAGCCAGCCACTCTGGATGACTCAGAGGGGTTGCAGCATACATAGCCTTGGAGGGTCGGACACCATGGCTTCTTCACCCCATCATCAGACCTGCTCTTTCTCTGGATGAGGATTTACCCTCAGATCTCTCATCTTGGCACCACACAACGGTTACAGGTTTGCTCAATGCCAGGCCTAACCAGCATTCAGTCCCCCTCAGCTAAAGCACCTTTCTCAGGAGTCCATAACCCTACTGCCTCCTGGCTCTGTGTCCCCATCAGAGGGATGTTTAACTCTAAAGAGGGGGATAAAATACAGGTCGGGGCTAGAAAACAGGAAAGGGCTAATTGTGGCCCAGATTTCGCCCCATGGGGGCTGCAAGCTACTTCTAATCCCCCACCTCTCTCCTCCAGCTCCATCCTTCCTCCAGCCCTATCCTTCCTCCTTTCTGGACCAACCTTATTTTTCCTTCTTGCTCAATTCTCCTTTCCCGCTTCCCTTTATCCCGTATCAGCCCTAAAGAAGGCTTCATGTCCTGTGACCTTCCGTTTACAGGCGCCTCCAGTTCCCCAGGTCAATGTGCCTTTCCTGGCCTTTAGTCCTTCCAGTAATCCCCCAAAACATACACCATAAACACCCTGTGGGCGGCCCTCTGAAGGCCTGGAGGAAAGCCTGCATTCCTAAGATGGGCAAAAGCAAGATTGAATGCTGTTTGTGCCCAAACCAAACCCCTCGCTGCCACCAGCCCTGACACTTCAATCACCAACTGGCCAACGGCCAGGGCCCTGTACTGCCCCCAGAGCCGTCCACAGCGCCAGGGCATCTGCAGTCAGAGAAGGGACAGATCCTCTCTTGAAAGGCATTAGAGTTGACATCACCACCTAAACCTTTGTCTCATCACAGGGGTGGGGGTGGGGCTTGGGCTGTTTTTATAAAAACGTGAGCTATGTAGTCTTTGTTTTTCATCCTTTGGGGGGGATAGAGGACAGAGTGCTTTTGTGGGTAGTCATTTTTTGTTTGTTTTCAGTTTGGGTTTTTGTTGTTGCTGTTGGTTTTGGGGTTTTTTGCTAATTTTGCCCCACCCCATAAAAAGCAGTGCTACCCAGAGGCAGGGGAAGGGGCCCAGAGAAGCACGGACTGCTGTGAAGACACCCACCCCTTCCTTCTCCACCTCTCCCAGCTGTTTCCTTTGGTTCCCACCGCCAAACCTGAGGACTGAAGAAGGAAGGGCAAGGGAAAGTTTCTCGTTGCACCAAGAGGTGCTGCTTCCGGGCCTGGCACTCCAAACAACCCCTGTGCCCCTCGAAGGAGAGACACTGGCAAGACACAGCCCTTTCTGCTCATGGCCTCTTGCAGCTGCACCCCAGGATGTAGAAGCCTCGAGTTGGGCTCTGAAGGCTTAATTTCTACCCTGACTTCTCCAGTGAGGATTTGAGTAGACTGTGTGGTAATGCCCACGAAACCTGTGCAACCCTCAGGTCCATTGGTGGAAACACATGGCCAACAGGGGCAGGGCCCCGGAGGCTTAATTCTGCTCACTGGCAGGGGTCCGCCTCCCCGGACAGAGGACAGAGCAGCAATCAAGACACACAGCGAAGCCCCCCCAGGCTGGAGGAGGCGGGGCTCTTCCTTCTGCCTCTAGGGTCCTCAAACCCAGAGACAAAACACCAGAGCTCTTAGTTCCTCCCCCACCCCCACCTCCCAGCAGCTTTGGATCTGGGGACCTCTACGGGGGCTCCTGCCCTGGTCCACAGGGTCCAGCTCCTCTCCGGCTGAGCCAGGGTGGCTGGTGAGAACAGCTTTGCCCTCAGGGTCCTGGTTGCGTGGGTCCCCTTGTCCCTGTAAGGTGGGGGGGTGGGGGTGATGCAGAAGAGCGGAGGGGCGAGGGCGGACGGGGACAACAGCAGCAGGGTCAGAGGAGGGCGCGGCATCTCACACCACAGCCGAGGAGGAAGACGGGGACGAGGAGGAGGCGGCCGAAGAGGACGGGGAGGATGGACTGTTCCAGAACAGCCACCGCCGCTTGGGCTGCCGCTTCAGATGGAGGTAGTCCTCCTTCTCACGCTCCTTCCGGGCCCTCTGATAGTGATCTTCTTCCTTCAGGTACCAGACAGGTGGCCACCGGTGCTTCTCGAAATACTCCTGGTTTTCTGAGCCAGAGCGCAGTGGGGCTCGGTTAGAAGGGAGGCAGAGGAAGAAGAGGAGCACAGGACACCACCCCACCGTGCCACATGCGGGACCCTGGGGCCTGTGACAAGAGAGCCTCCCCCCCAAAAAGCAAACTGTCCAGAGTGGAGCCAACAGTGCCGGGAAAGGCCCTTCCGGCTGTGTTTTTCTTCAGAGACAGAGGGGAGATCTAGACTGGGGCTTCGCGTGTGCTGGGGACAAAAAGGCTGACACCCAGAATGAGGGAGAAGAGACAGGCAAAGCCGTCAGCTGGAAGTCCTCGCCATGGTTGGGGGATAAGAGCAGACACTTCCAGCCAGAGCAGAAGTTCCGAGGGGAATCGGGAGGCAGGGCCTCAGCAGGACACGGGGTCAGACCAGAGGGAAGGCTGGCCTTATTCTGGAGGGCATGGGGAGCCGTTGAAGGTTTGGAACCAGAGGAGTGGTGCAATTGGATCTGTACTTTAGGAAAAAAATGCTAGGCCGGGCACGGTGGCTCACACCTGTCATCCCAGCACTTTGGGAAGCTGAGGTAAGAGGATTACCTGAGCCCACAGGTTTGAGACCAGCCTGGGCAACTTGTTGAGACCTCATCTCTACAATAAATTTAAAAATTAGCCGCGGGTTCGAGACCCGCCTGGGCAGCAAGACCTCATCTCTACAATAAATTAAAAAATCAGCCGGGCATGGTAGCGCATGCCTGTAATTCCAGCTACTTGGAAGGCTGAGGCGGAAGAATCGCCAGAACCCAGCAGGTCAAGGCTGCGGTGGCCGGGAGCGGCCACTGCACTCCAGTCTGGGCGACAGAGTGAGACTCCAACTCAAAAAAAAAAAAAAATTAGGCTGAGGCAGAAGGACTGCCTGGGCCCAGCAGGTCTAGGCTGCAGTGGCTGTGAGTGTGTCACTACACTCTAGCCCGTATGTCAGAGTGAGACTCCAACTCGAAATAAAATAAAATAAAATAAAAGAAAGAAAGAAAGAATGCTAGAAAAGATGTGACAAATGTGAAAAGGTGGAGAGAACTGGGGTGGGAGAACTGGTAGGGTGCCTCAACAACCTAGCAGTGGGGAGGAGGGTCCCAGCAGAGTGGAGGGAGCCCAGTAAAGACCTCAGAAGCCAGGCTCGGCGGCTTAGCCTGTAATCCCGCGCCTTGGGAGGCTGAGGTGAGTGGATTGCCTGAGCCTGCAGGTTCGAGACCCACCTGGGCAGCGAGACCTTATCTCTACAATAAAGCAAAAAATGAGCCAGGTGTGGTAGCGCACGCCTGTAGTTCCAGCTACTCGGGAGGCTGAGGTGGAAGGATCGCCGGAGCCCAGTATGTCGAGGCTGCAGTGGCCGGAGCGGTCGCTGCACTCCAGTCTAGGCAACAGAGTGAGACTCCAACTTAAAAAACAAAAAAAAAGATCCCAGAATACGGAGTGGGAGAGCTCTCGAGGAGGCCAGCGACACCTCTCCCTGGGGCCTGTGCAGCTCCCATTGGGCTCTAGGCCCTGATCAATTAATCAAGAAAAGACAGAGCTGCAAGAGACCCGAGGGGACATCCAGACCTGGGTGGTGCACGCTGTGGGTTGTGTCCATTCCTGGGTTGTGCAATCAATTTAATGGGCATGAGCAGCGTTTTAAAACATACTAAGCTGTACATGGTGGTTCATGCCTGTAATCCCAGGACTTTGGGAGGAAGAGGCGAGAGGACTGCCTGAGCCCAGGGGTTCAAGACTAGCCTGGGCAACTTGGCAAGACCTCGTCTCTACAATAAATCAAAAAAATTAGCCGGGTGTGGTAGTAGTGTATGCCTGTAAGTCCCAGCTACTTGGGAGGCTGAGACAGAAGGATCGCCTGAGCCCAGCAGGTCAAGGCCGCGGTAGCTATGATCATGCCACTGCACTCCAGCCTGGGTGACAATGGAGACTGACTCAAAAGGAAAAAAGTACACATTTTTTTTTTTATTGAGGTGTCCTGTCTAGAAAATTCTGAAAACTACCAAATCTAGTCCAACACCCTCTTTGTATCTCTGAGAAACAGAAGTCCAGACAAGTAGGGTGAGCTGCCCCCAGGTCAGCACTTTCTTTCCTGGGCCCCCTCTGTGTGGCTGGAGGCTCGTTGGACAGCTGCTCCCACCCCAAGGTCAAGTGAGGCCCAAGGACACCTGGCAGCCTCTGGGTCCCCGGGGTTAAATCGAAGCTATGGACCCATGAGGGGAGAACAGCAGGTTGCTAGATGCTCACCTGGGGACATGGCCTTCATGTCTCGGGGGAACTTGCGGCACACGTTGTTGTAGTTGGTGCAGATATGGTGGAGACACCAGTCAGCCAACTGGTGTGCACAGTGGAACTGGAGACAGAAGAGGAGCGTCTGTACTGAGACCCTGGTGGCAGGGCTCTGCATAAACACCTACAGCTGCCTTCAGAGCTGAAGCTCTGGTGCAGGATGGGCAAATGCCCTGTGGTCACAGAGAGCCCATCACCTGAGGCAAGGCCACACAAAACTGAAGAAAGCGATGCTGATTTGGGCTCTTTGGGCACTGTTCCCAACACAACCATCACTCTACCCCTGGCATCCTCACCACAGACATCCGGAGTCCTAGGTGGTAGCATCCTACTATATTTGTCCTCCTCAGATCTCACCCCACATGACTTCCTTCTCCTCCCTGTCAGGGGCCAAAGCAGATTGCACTAAGGTGTGGACAACCAGGCTCAGGGAACTGACTTTGCCAAGTGCGCCTGCGAGCCTTGAATCAGTCAGGCTTTAATTCCATAAACTAATCTTTAGTGGCTTGAATTTCTGGTACTGTGAGGACCCGGTGGAGATCTTGCATGTCTGTTTGGGAATAAGGGGATGAGCAGTTAATTTCAGGTGGAGAGTCCTCAATGCCCCTTAAATGACTTCAGACAGGTAGCAACCATGTCTATGCCTGAGACTGGGGTTTCCTCCCTGGTCCTATGGTTACCTAAAATCCCATGGCCAGCTGTCCTCCAGGCACGTCACAGAGTTCTCTAGCTGCTTCCCGGCGGGGAGGAGGAGAAGACGGCTCTGCCCAATCAGGGAGCCAAGACTGATAATGGGCTCCTTCCTGCCCACCACCTCCCAGCCCTCCTCCTTCACTGCCAATGGGCAGACAAGAGCATTGAGCTGAGGCTGTTGCAGATCCTGTCCCTTGCCATGATACCTGAGCCAGTTCCAGAAACACAAGGACGTCCCCATCAATGTCCACCATCATCTGGGTCGCTTCCATCAGCCCGGTCACTGTGTACTGCTCTGTGAGACAGACAGCCAGCAATCAGCAAAAGAGCTCCATGAACGGGCCTGCACTCACAGCTCCCAGCAGGGGTCCCCCTTCAGAAAATCCGGGCCAGTAACAAGTCCCCACAGGCCAGGAAAGGCCACAGCAGGTTGAAGTCTGCTCCCACCAGGAGGAAAACTGGGATGACAGCAAGACTTTCTCAGTGGGGTGGGGGGTAGAAGGCGAAGAAAGGTGTTAGAATCATGCAAGAGGATTTTTATTTTCTTTTCTTTTGAGTTGGAGTCTCACTCTGTCGCCCAGACTGGAGTGCAGTGGCCGCTCCCGGCCACCGCAGCCTCGACCTGCTGGGCTCCGGCGATCCTTCCGCCTCAGCCTTCCGAGTAGCCAGAATTACAGGCATGCGCTACCACGCCCGGCTGATTTTTTGATTTATTGTAGAGATGAGGTCTCGCTGCCCAGGCGGGCCTCGAACCCGCGGGCTCAGGCAATCCACTCACCTAGTGACACACGTCCCACCACATAGCCTGCTATACACGGGGTGAAAGTCCCCAACAGAATCAGCCACAGGCATTGAGGACTCTCCACCTGAAAGTATTAAGCCTCACACTTGCTGAAACCAGAAAAAAAAAAGCTGAGAATTGCGATTTAGAACTATAGGTTAAACCTAATCGTTTGTCTTAATTTCAATTTTGTAACTAGTTGTATACTAACCCTGCATTTTATGTTAAAACATTTATATTGGCCAGTGGCAGTGGCTCACTCCTATAATCCCAGCACTTTGGGAGGCTGAGGTAAGAAGACTGCCTGAGCCCACAGGTTCAAGACCAGCCTGGGCAACTTGGTGAGACCTCATCTCTACAATAAAACAAAAAAATAAGCCAGGCGTGACAGTATGCACCTGTAGTTCCAGCTACTTGGAAGACTGAGGCAGAAGGATCACCAGAGGCCAGCAGGTTGAGGCTGGGGTGGCCATGAGCAGTGTGCCACTGCACTCCAGCCTGGGCAACACAGTGAGACTCCAACTCAAAAAATTTATATTGAAGTAAACACCCTTGGTTCTGAATTTTAATTAGAAGTATCCATATAAACTGAGGTATTTTATTTTTAAAAAGATAAATGTACTTCCCAGCTATGTCCACAGAAAAGACCCAGAAACAACCATTCCAGTAGCAATAAGCATTTCTAGTGCATAGAAATACCATTTCCACTTCCAATGATAAGAAATCAGGACTTCTTGGAGAGATGACTGATTCTGGATCTGGGAAATGGCGTTCATAAGAGAAACATAGAACATCCCACCATTCCAGACAATGAGGAAGCCCAAAGACTCGAGCCAACTCAGAGACTCCCACTGACTAAGAGTACAGGATATGAGCTTCAAAAGGATAATTGCAATTTTTTTTTTTTTTGAGTTGGAATCTCACCCTGTCGCCCAGACTGGAGTGCAGTG